CAAAGATTAATGCAAATTACCTGGGGACTGGTCAGAGGTCCAGTGTCAAGTCATCAAGGAAAATGAATTTTGAAATGGAAACTATGTCAGTCCCTCAAACATGTTATTTTATTTGCTATAAAGGAATTGATGTCTACACAGGGCTTTTAGTAATCAAAGTAGCCTATACTAAATCATTTCATGAAAATCTGCTGTGTATTTGCTACTTGTCCATAAGGGACAACCTCAGTGGAATCCAAACTAGATTCATTCAGCTTAAGGCTCAAAACAGACATTTGGAATAAATTTAGTCAGAGGAAGGTGTCCTAGATTCTGGGATCTTCATACTGCAAACTTGGAAGAAATATTTAAAGGTCATTTCATATATCACACTGTCCTTCTAGGAGATGAATGTTTTCAAAGTTTAGGCTTATCAGGACTTTTAAGCTTGAGATAAGAAAGTATTTTTTATTTTATATTTCCATGCCTATTCCTCTATCAACATTCACTGTGTGCTATTGAATGATTTTTATATGCTGCTCATCACCAAAGATGTTGTTTCTATTTAAAAGTAGTTCTCTACAAAAGCAACTACTAATGTTCAAAGTGTATTCCCCTGTTCTTCACAATCCTAAATCCCTATCCAAAGAGGAAAGAACCATAGAATTTCAACTAAGAAATCTTGCATGGTAATGACACAGATATCTTCCATTTCACAGCAATCCAGAACAACAATATTTCCTTTATCTCACCCTCCATAGCTAGATTGACCTTCACGACCACATAGTCCATATGGCATGGCTAGAAAATTGAAGAAGCTTGGATCCTTGAATCATCATTTGGAGGAGTGCTTTCTTGGAGAATTGCCCATACTATATTAGAACATGATACAAAGACTTTACTTTGATTGAATCAAGCCACTGAGGTTATGGTATCTAAGTCTAACAGCAGTTAGCATTAATTAATCTTAAACAATAACAACAACATCAAATTAATGACAAGAATGGTAAATGTAGATAAACTGAATGTAAAAATATGCATACCATGTCAAAAAAATAAGTTACAGAGCAGCCAGGAGAGTTTGGAATAGAAAATATAAAAATCTTTCACAACAATAATTGCCAGCCAATTTAAGTTCAAAATCTATGCCTTTACTCAAGGTTCTTTCTTCTCACCCCAAAATAAAACCCTGTACTCTGCCCATGGTTCTGATGGTTATCAGAAATTGATGTGGTGATATATTGTTTATGATCTAATGACGCCAAGCTGAAGATCAGAGAAGCAAAGCATCCAACCAGTAGCTATTACCTCTACCAAGGCAGAAATGGAGATACTGTCTTCCCTGTGACTGGAATCTGAATCTCAAATGAGACACTTTGCTTCCTCTTTGTATACCTCTCTAGTGATGGGATTAAAGTTCTGTTACTCTTTTAAACTGATTCACTCTATTGTAGCCCAGGGTGGTCTTAGACTCTCAGAAGTCCATCTGCCTCTGTCTCCTGAGTCCTGGGATTAAAGGTGTGTGCCACCACTTCCCAGCTTCTGTGGCTAACTGGTATGGCTGGTTTTGCATTTTGATCTTCCATGGCTTTATTAAATTATAACAATTCACCACAAATGATATTTTTTACTTGTTGAGAATGGAGTTCACTAGAACTAACATAGTATTTAAGCCACAGGTTGACTATCTTACCATCAGACTTTTTTTTATGCATTTGGCAAAGAGGGGATGCATGCATATTGAATAATAAAGAATTTATGAAGATGCTCTCTTGTTTGAGATGGAGTCTCCTAACAGTGCATGGTGGTTTTTCTATCCTTTCTTGTAACGATAAGTCTTTACTCCATCTGCCCGAGCCCCGCCACCACATGGGCACCCAGAATAACACAGAGTCTTATATTAGTTTACAATGTTGCTGGCCAATTGACTAGGATTTGTTACATGCTAGCTCGATCTTAATTATCATAAATCTACATATTTTATAAGACTTACCTTATGAAGGATGCCTTTTGCTGTAGTCCTCTTCCTGAGATCACATGGCAGCTCTGTAGAGAAGAGAGCAGGAGGAAGAGGATGAGCAAGAGATCGATTTCCTGCTTATATTCTGAGTCTGCCTGCTGTGTCACTTCCTGCCTGAATCACAAGGCTTCTTTTTACTACATTTCCCAGAATCCTTCTTGACTCCTAGTCCCTCCTAACTTGCTTTCCTATTGGCCAATAGTATTTTATTTAACAACCAATAAGACAAACATATACACAGAAGGACTTGCTTATCTTTACACTTTGTATCTCATTCTCATTCACCCTTTTGTTTGTTCAACAGACTTTCATTTCCCTTTCCTTTATGTATCTACTTTATTCTTCCCTCTCTTAGCACTAACCTCTGCTACCAAGTTCAAAATGACAAAGATAATTAATGAATGTTTAAATAACAACCCACTAGTGATTAACATAAACCTTTCATGAAATGGAATCTTAGCATACCAGCCACTGAAAACTGATTTAAAAATGAAACCCTAAAATCCCCTTGTAAAAAGGAAACACATAGTTAATACATTCCATTTACTATATAGAATAATCCCCATATAAATATGTTGCTATCAAATTGAATATAAAGTGATTCTAAAATATTTGGAATTACTTATTCAAAGTTAAAGGCTTAGAAAAACCCAAAATAAATATGTTTCTTTTGATCTTTAAAGTATAACACTAACAAAAAACAGTTGTCTTCTTATTAACTAGATATCTTTCCTTGAGGAAGTATAATGCATGTATGATGGTCAATCTTGACTACCACTTTGATGGGTTTATGAAATGCCTCAGGGGTGGGTCAATTATTAAAGGTGAGTCTCACATCAAAACATTAAAAATACCACGGGACTAGTAAAACCTCTCAGTATTGTCTGTGAAGGTACCCCCAGAGAAGCTTATATCATGAGGGCTCTTGCCAAATGGATGAACTAATTCTTTTATCACTTAATAAGAGGATTATTAAGAAGTAGTGAAAGGTAGGAGTTTGTTGCATAAGTGGTAGGCTGTTTGAGATATTGGAGGGTGAATGCATCTTGTCATGGCCTCTGCCTTCTTCCCCTTTCTCTGTTTGCTGTACTCCTTTAGAATGTCCCTCATCCACATGCTCCCACAGCAATATTGACCTCACAGGAGACTATGAACTGAATTCTCTGAAATATTTATCCAAGTAAATATTTCAACCTTTAAGTAGTTTATGTCACATGAACAAAAGATGAATTAACATGGAAAACCAACACCACTGCTTTTAAAGTATAATTAAGAACAAAAATAAGTCTTATCTTTCTCTAACTACCAGATTTTAAGAAAGCTACACCTTTAAGTGACTCTACTTCTCCAAAGTTCACTTTACTTCTGGTTTTTCTTTCTCTACTTTCTGACTAATAAATTGTCAATCTTTAAGGCTCCAACCTTGTGTCTGACAGTTCTGTCACTGTACCTTGCAGAGTTAGGTCTTGTAGAATTGGATATTACCTAGTATTGAAAATTGCCAATGTTTTCCAGGACATACCACTATGGCATCCTTCCTAGAAACTTATCAGTTTCAGTGAAAGAGTGTTCAGTGTTTAAAATAACAAGTTCAGAGCTCTACAGCATTACAATAACAAGAAATCACTCCTATTCCCACAAAGCTGCCTCAGTTAATATCTACATGTGTATAAGAAGCTATTTTGTTTCAGCCTCTGTATAGTTCTGGGAAATTATGTCTTATAAATATGAAAAGAATGAATCATGGTGACTCATTATAATCCATGTCCAAGAAGACTGCAAACTACACTTTTCTAATTTCCAGAGTCTAGCTCTAACATGATTTACTGGAACAGAGACACAGTATCTTTGATATCTTATAATAAATCTAAGTTTACCAAATAGCTCTTTGGCTATTTGATGATTCTTTTCATGTAGCAAGGGCATTTGATACTCCACTTAATTTTGGTCTTAGAATGCTTGTGCTTCTATAACATACTCAGTAATTTATAAGAAGTAAAAATTTGTTTTGCATATTTTTATAAAGTTCATGGTACAAATGCCAGCATCTAGGGAAGATCATCTTCCAATCTCACTAGCAGAAGATGCAAGGTCAAGAGTGGATGACCTCCCTTCATTGAAACTTATATAAGGAAGAGCCCTCCTTATGTTTGCAAGGAATAAATGCCCCAATCTGAATACTTCTGCAAAAATACATAAATTACAGAATAAACACATTAAAACTATAACAGATTCCAACATATATATGTGATGAAACTTATTGATAAAGAAAAGTGAACTGGAGAACTTAATATTAAGAACAAACAACAAACCTTTCATGTTTGCTGCTGTAGATGACTTCATGAAAAACAGTTGGACAAATCAAGTATTTCAGATGACTGAAAATATTTCTTAGAGATCTTTGAAAGCCGGAATAGGCAGCTCTGTGGGGGATCACTCTTGGAGTGTTAAAAGCACAAATCTAATCCAGAACACTGGAAAACAAGTTAAGGGACTAATAAAAGGCATTTGTTTCATCTTACAAATATATTTAAACATTTTTATATGGCAAACCCCATTGTTCTACATTAGGAAATTGTCAACCCAAGCACTTTGAACACAAACCTTTAATATAAAATATCTTTCTGGAGTGCTTAAGAGAAAACTCAGCTGTTCAGAGCACCTGCTGCTGTCAAAGACGACTCAGATTCAATCCCCACAATTCTCATGGTGGTTCACAACCATCTGAAACTCCATTTCTACGGAGCCTGAATCCCTCTTATGATCTTTGCAGACACTAGACAAACACATACTGCACATACATACATACATACATACATACATACATACAATAGTAAAATTTCCTTACACATAAAATAAATAAATATTTTAAAAATTAAAAGGAAATGACTTGCAAAAAAACTGTGATGGGTCATCTAACATTTTCATTTACATGTTGAATTGAAATATAATTACTTTTGCTTCTTTATAAAGCAGTGATGGAGGATACGGGAGGGTGGCAATATTTATCTATTCTTCAGAAAAAAAATGATAAGTGATGGTTATTGAAAAATTGAAGAATTATTCCTGAAGATATATTCTGTTACTGAGCAAAGTGGATTTACTTGAGAGCGGTGCAGAAGAACAAAAGAACAAGAGCTAGTGTCCCATGCAACAGAAAATGGGATCAAACAACAAGAAGAATCACTGACATGTAAAATAGCACAGTGATGACTGAGTGTGATAGCTAATCTCAACTGTCAATTTGACTGACTCTGGACTCAACTAAAATGAAAGCCATTGGGCATTCCTGTGATGGACTTGCTTGACAGATTTTTTTTTTAAAAGGAATGAACCATCCGAATGCAGGTAGTACCTTCTGGTGACAGCCCAGAAAAAACAACAACAACAAAAACATGCATGGAAGAAGAAAACTGTCTTCTGCCTGCTTACCTTCACTCATTCTGGCAAGTTCATCTATCCTGTGGCTGTTTAATTCCTTCACAGATATTAGATACAGCTTCTTCAGGATTCCAATTAAAACTGAAGACCAACAGCTTTCCAGGACTCCTACAAGTCTTCAGTGTGAAACTGGGACTGCTGAGACATTCACTGTCCTGGATTGAGAAGCTACTGGATTCTCAGTCTCCTCTATGAGGCAACCGTTGTTGGGCTATACAGACCATACTCTGTTAATCTATCTAATAAATCTCCCATTTTAAGACTATTTCTTTAGTTCTTTTTAGATTAGAATGTATTGCATCATTTCCCCCTTCCATTTTCTCCTTCCCACCCTCGCACAAACCCTTCATTGCACTCTCTCAAATTCACAATAAGTCTCCTTTTCATGTATACATTCATTCTATCAGCTCTTTCCTTTAAAGAACCACAATATGAGGGTAAGACACAACTCCAGGTCTCCCCCATCTCAATGAACTCAAACCTAAAATCCCCTCACTGACAGGACTAGAGGTTTGTATCTTAGTAAATTCTAGATCCTCCTAAAATGGCAATCATTATCACCTATCACAGACGGTATCCTTGGTTTGTTTGTTTATTTATTTATTTATTTGTTTATTTATTGTTCCCACTACTTTATACTTGGAGTAAATGTCCTCTATCATAAAAGACATACCTTATGCATTTTCATGCACCATCCATAGCACAGATGAGGAATGACTAGAGAGGTGAATGAATGAATGACACTAAAACTGATCATTTAAGCTATGCCTCCTCCAATCATTTCCACAAGTTGCTTCAAATGAAATTTCTAAAATTGTAATATCTCACTATACCAAGCTTAAAACAAAAACAATTGTTTAAAATTCAATGTTGGGCATTGTCTCTGAAGACATTTTCCGCGCCAGAAAGTAAAAGTTTTACGGGCCTTAATTCCTGTCTCTAAACTCATTTCATATCCAAACAAGCTATTTTATTCAATAAATATTTATAAAGCTCTCTCATGACACACATTCAAAGTTCTGTCAATGAGAAAAGGTTAGCAAAGCTCAATTAGGCCAAGCAGAATGCTCAAGAGAACAGAACTGTCTCTCGCATTTTAAAAACACCACCAGTGAGTTAGTGGTTCCTATGTCCTTGGAGGAGGAATTCTGTAACTCCAGGCTGTAATTGACAGATTTGTCAGTAGCACCTTACCATACTAGTGTCTTTAAGAATAGACGATAAGTCACCACACCAGACTGCACATGGCGATATGAGAAAATTGTTTATCTTCAAGTGTTTCCCAGCTATTCCATGTCCTTAATTGAGGACCTTCACTGTTGCTTTCAGACTGACAAGTTGATGTTCTCTTTCACCTCAAAAGAAAGTCAATGTAACATGGATACCTGTACAGAAGAAACAGCCATACTAAGGTACTCATGGGAAGAGGATGTAATTCAATGAGTCATGAAGTCTTATAAAAATCTACAAGTGTAAATGCATGGGGACTTCCAGTGTGAGCCGACATTTATCATTTATAGAAAGGATGGAAACAACCACATTGAGAATTCATCTAAGCACATGCTCAGGTAAGGAAGTAACTGTATTTGCTAACTGTAGACTACCAAGAAACCCCTGGGATAAGCCAAGAACAACAACCAGGGCTTCTTTTCAACTGGTTTACATA